CTCTTCTTTCACTTTCCTCTGTAAATGAAGTGCTTAATGAAACTTCCAATGCTTAGAACAAACCTGTATTTTATAAATGTAATAGTTAACAAATACAAGTGACCTCCCTGCTATTCCTTAACACCAAGGGTGAGTCCTTACCTCAGAGGTTATGCACCTGTTTTCTCTACTCATTAAACTTCTTTCTCCAGATATCCACACATTTCAATCTCTCCTTTCAGATGGCTTAAATGTCACTTTATCAGAAATATCTTCCCTAATGCTCTATATAAAATAGTAATTCTCTACTCATATTTTTTCCTAACATGTATTATCTCCTAATGTAGTAATCATTTATTATATTTCTTTTATTTTTTAAGATTTCTTTTATTTATTTATACATACAAGAGCTGGGGTGTAGGCCAGAGGTTTTGGGGGGGCATTAGAGGATTCACCAGAGACAAAATGGGGAACAGAACAGGCAGATTGACTGAAATACACCGCTGAGGGGAGCAGTGGGTGAGACAAGAGAGGTCTGCTGCGCCACGTGGGTTTGTTCCATAGTTGGGGATTGAACTTGTGCTGCGCTGGCTGTTGATAGCTTCATAGTGCTGAGACTTAACCCCCCTGAGCCACCAGGGAGGCCCCTATTATACTTCTTATATACAGAATGTAAGTTCCACAGAGTTCACACATTGTATCTGCTCTATCCCTGAAGGCCTAGGACAGGTCCTGACAACATAAACACTCAATAAATATTTATTAGATGAACAAGTGTTTAAGATATATATCTATCTGATAAAGAAACATCAGAACTATAATAGTTGTTAAAATAACAAGATATCTAGGGTTTTCTTTCTCCAATTTTATAAATTCATAGTATGTATTTAACTATTTTTAAATCATTTGTTTTTTTTTTTTTTTTTTTTATAGAGGCATGTTTTTTATTTATTTATTTATTTGTTTTGTTTATACATGCACTGGGTACAGTCAGAAGCGTCGGAGGGTGAGAGAATTCACCAGAGCCAGAGCGGGGAGCAGAGCAGGCAGAAGGACCGAAGTACACTGCTGAGGGGAGCAGCGGGCGGCAGGAGAGGTCTGCGCGCCATGTGGGACCCTCCTCCGGTGGCCGGGGAGCAGCCAGGGATCGAACCGGCGCCGCGGAGGCCGCGGGCAGCTTCGCAACCCAGCGCTCAACCGCTGCGCCACCGGGGAGGCCCTATTTTTAAATCATTTGAATACTGCTTGAATACAATAAATTACCAAAGAATTTTAGAAGTATGTCCTTTAAAATGATTTTAAAAGTATTTTTCATATGAAGCCATTTTTTAGACAGGTAGCTAGGTTGCTAATGAGAATTAATCAATTACTTCTCCATTTTTTGAGAGCTTGTTTGGAGGTTCTAGCAGGGGAGCGCAGCTACTCGTATACCCTCGACCGAAGACCAGTCCGTCTCTATTCGGGGAAGGCCGTCCTCTTCGACCGAGCGCGCAGCTTCGGGAGGGACGCACATGGAGCTGTGAGGGAGGAAGGGGACACCCGCCTAGCCAGCCAGATCAGCCGAATCAACCCTGGCGATCAGTGGGGTGACAGATGTCGCAGCCAGATAGCCCTCACATCCTACTTCTCCATTTTTTAAGCCATAACTGTTCTTACCATATGTAGTTAGGACAGTACTGCATTAATTTGGATGCGAAGCAAGAATGAATGTAATCTTAGAGCAGTGAGGCAGCACTGTAAGAGAAAGTGAGTGTGTGATTTGGTGACTAATGAGTTCCCTCTTCCAATTAAGCAGCTTTCTCCCCAATAGGGGATCTGAGTCATTCAGGTTCTCAACAAGACCAGGCAATTAATTATGTGATAATTCTTAAGAGTTTAAGATACCTTGAGAGAAAAATAATTTAAGATTATTCAAAGCTGAAAAAAAAAAAAAAAAAAACAGTAACATGTAGTCATTTGAGGACATTCAGGTTCTACTGTAGAAATGAGGCCATTTCCATATTTAAAAAACGTATCATACTTGAGAACTACTATAAAAGTGAGCTGGTAGACTATCCTCATTTTAATTATTACAAAAATCCATTTCCCCAATAAATAATTTTATGAAAAGTGCCTATAACCCCAAGTTAGCTCAAATAACTTTTCGAATGAATAGTAACTACTACATGTAATAATTAACAGGAAAACTCATTTATTTAGATTGACTTGATGTGCTAAGTATTTCTCTAGTGATAGAAGCAGAATCCAACAGAAGTAAGGAGAAGGGTATTAAAAAAAGGTCTTAGACTTCAGAGTGTAGATAAAGATCTAAGTCAATAAGAGGTTTTTTTTTTTTGAAAAGTGGCATAACCTGCCTTTTCCTCCCACACAAAACCTCAGAGTCTCCCTATGTACATCTTATTCCACCTCCTATTGTTTCCATCCTTCTGCCTAAGTGCTGATCACAACACACAATGTCATAGTTTTCCTACTCTACTGTGCCTAAAGATACCTTTCAGGTAAAGGTTTCTCCAGCTACCACTCACCTAAATGTACCAAATGTAAATAGGCTTCTTCTCAAATCAAAGCAGATGGCTTAGAGTAAGTCACCACTGCCAATGTCAATAAAGAGCTTAAAAAAATTAAATAAATCACATTTTTAAAAGAAGATTATTAAAAATGACAGGTATTGAGGGATTAACATCTAAAGTATAAGAAAATATTTTGTGGAATATGACTTGCAAAACAAATACCAAACTTCTAAATATAACTACAGCCCATATCAAATGAAGATCATCTATTTGTAGTCATTTTTTCATCTTACGCTTCATATTTGAGTGCAAGTTTTTGTTGCCAGACTCATATATTAATAGCTAAAATTTATATAGTATTATGTGTCAGGTACTACATTTAAATAATTTATTATCTTTAATTTTTATAACTCTTGAGGGTTTATGATTGTCTCAATTATAGATTTAAGAATGTAACAAGGACTTACGAATGCAAAGTAACCTGCTCAACATCACATAAAGTATATAGTGGAACCAGTCTCTGGACTCCAAAATACATGTGTTTAAAAATCTATACTACCACTGCTTGTTACACATTTCTACAAGTAAATTAAATTTTATAGACAAGTGCTAACATCCAAAACGAAACTCCTATCCTTTCCACAATCTACTTCTCAAATGTTTATTTTAGTAGCTACCTCTTACCTAGTTGCTCAAGCTAGTTTTCACAGATTCCCTCTGCTCCTTACCTCCCAAGTCCTACCTGTAATCTCCTAAACCATCTAGAAGTCATCTACTTCTTTCCATAGGCTCTGCTCAATTTCAATCAGGTTGGACTACAAAACAGGTTGAAGCATTAAGAGTTTTTCTTGAAGGAACATTCCAGTGATGAGTCTATTCTCTAGATTGAACACAGCTAATTTAGTGGCAAAGGAATAGACTCAAATTCCAAAACTAAGACTTAACGCAAGCAACATTTGACATCATTAAATTACAACATCTGGAATAATCTTTGAGTTAATATTCTTGTAAAAGAATTTAACTTTTTTTTTTTATTTTCTTCCCTAGCTTTTTATTTCATTCTCCCTAGACACTGGCTAAAACTCTGAGTTATGTTTTTGTAGCAAACTCCATACCTTCTTAAAAGTAAAATGCAAGAACACAGATCCTCCACTACCTCAAATTATAGTCAAGTTTCCCATATTTAGGGAAATCACAGGGGTCAGTATATTCTCAGTGGAAATGGGTAAGTCCCACCCTGGGAAAAGCACCACTGTGATCATGGTTTCTCTTCTGCCAGATAAATGTGTTTAAATGTATTTATTCATTTGTTTATGTGAATGATTTTAAAAATTGTCACCACACAAACTACTAACTTACTATATACTAATCTTAAGTTCTTTTTTCCTTCCAAAGAACATAGCACCACAGAGAAAGAAGCAGGTAGTCCTTTTTCATTTACCCTAGAGGATTTTATGAAATTCAAGCTCTTTAGCAAAATGTAATACAGCACTTTTTACACAATGGTTTTTTTTAAAAAGTACTTTTATATATGTTATTTCATTTAGTAGTCATGTGAAGTAAGATTTACAGATATTATTCTCAGGTTAAAAAACTTTGTAGATAAAATTTTACTTTTTCCTTAAAGTATTTCAACCATTACTTAATCTATGCCTAATTATAAAGAAGGGAGAAAGTTAAGACCTAATTAAAGGAGAAGATTGACAGCAAAATTCAACTTCACTTAGGATTTCTATTGAAAAAAGAATGATCCAAAGATTACAAATATTTTTTTCCATAACAAAAAAGCAAAAATCTACAAAACCAAGTTTTATCTCTACCAAAATATTTATGCACATTGTAACTGGCTAATATAAAAACAACACAAAAATAAAGATAACTGACACATTGAAATAAGCTGTAAAAAGCATGCACAGTAAAGACATGCTTTCATTTAAGAACAGCATGCTTTAATTAAATTTGCAGGCAATCTAAGGAGAATGTAAAACTAATGTATAAAACTTACCTACTTTGCAGTTATATTAAATACACATTGACAGAAAGTCTGCTTTCCTTTTTTGGTCAGAACAAGCCAACAACAGCAAGTAGCCAGAAATTAAAATTACTATTGAAAGAAAATTTTAAGAGGAAATGGATTTGCTAGACTCCGATTTTCAGCTTTAGCTTTAAGATATGAGTGATTATTGGCAATGAGGTTGGCAAGACAGGAAACTGAGTTAAAATTTATCAATCTTTTAAATGGCTTTTCTAAGTACAACTTTTTTTTTAAAGGGGGGTTAATTAGTATTTTGGACCTCTTTGTAATGAAACATGTATTTTATACTGTTAAACTTGAATAATCAGATATGGCAGATATAAGAATTTTTAGAAAAATAGTTGAATTCACTAATTAAAATTACCGTATTTCCTTTACTAAAAGGAAAGTCAGGTAGTATAAACAATGAAAAGCCAAATAAGAGATCCAGGAAGAAATTAACTTAGAAGGCGACCAACTGCGTAGCTTATTCTTACCTTGGCTGTTTTTTTCACGGGTTGACATTTTTGCTGGTTGAGACAAAAATGACATATCTTACAATAAAAATTGGGCATTTTTAAAAATGACTATAATAATGCACTTCTCTTTGATTACTGTGAGTGTACTTCAGTGTACATTTAAATAAGCCAAAATTCTTATCAATTAGCAAAAATTTAACTGATGTGTAAAAGCAAGATAATTTTTAAAAGGCATTTTAAATTTACCTTGGTTGATGATGACATCTTTATGCCTACAAAAGAAATTCAAAGATATTTATTTTATAATTTTATTTGATTGATCATCAGATCCACTCAGCTTCTATGCCTAGTACAGAAAACTACTTAGACATGATATTTAGGCATCAGTATCACTGGTCTTTACTAATATATACTGTTTTATAAAATAATGAATAATCCATAAGACCACCAAAACAGTGAAAGCATGTAAAGAATTTATGAATAAATTGAGGATTATGAATAATCCTCAAATCTTATAAACTTACTGAGATTTACTATCTGAGATGGGGAGCATTAGCAAGAAGATATAGCTTATCTCAGAATGCATAAAAGAAAAATAATACTTAGAAGAAATAAACAATGTAAATTATGCTCTTAATGATTCAAACCAGGCATATGATTGTACATGAGAACAAGACAGTCACAGAATTATTAATTTTTACATGTAACTGAGAATGTATAATACTTACTTGTCTGTATTTTTTATAACTTTTGATATCAACTTTGATGATGAAACTGCCCTCAATAATTTATTACGACTATCATCTGAATTTTCCCATGAATTATGCAATTTTTCAGCTGTTGATGGTCGCTTTATGCTGGAAAAAATATATTAATTTTTTAGAGAAAAATTTCATTAGTAACAATGATATGCACGGACGCTTTTTATAGAACACAAAAGCAGCTGTTAACATTTCCTTAAAGATAATCCAGAAAAGAGAAGGAAGGATTAGTTGAAAGGTTCATCATGGATGAGTGAAGGAGTTAAACAAGGCAATCACCAAGTCTGTTTCATAATTTTCACTATTATTGAGAACATTCACTTGAATAAATGTTACTTGATAAAAAAAATCTAACTTTTTTGTTAATAGAAAAAAATCCATTTGCTTAAATTCCTGAGTAACAACATTTCTCATAATTCATGAAATTATATGAAACTGTAAAAAACTATATATTTTAATAGTCATTAAAGATAGCCATTTTAAATTTTTATGTCCTCAAGTAATTAAATTATATATGGAACAAATGACAATTTCTCAATATATTGTGCGACTAAAATAAAATTCTTGTTTACATCTTTCAGGGACAGTTTTACTCATGATCAGAAGTAAACATGTGTTAACACAAGAATACTGTATTCTCAATACTGATTTAGTGTATAATGAAGTTTTTTATTTATAAATGATTTTTTTTGCTGCATTGATAACTATCCTACAACTCATCCAGTCTTCAATACTTCTTGCAATAGTATATCCAAAGAGCAATTTAGAATGGCAAGCACATTTCCAGGAGACCTTAAGAAGCTGAAAAAAAAAAACAGATCTGGGGCAAAGAAGGCACCAAGTCAGAGAAGATATCAAGTCAAATCAGAGCTTTTAAGAGATTGGTTATTTTTAAAAAGCCACCTTTATACAATTCAAAGTTGCATGACATTAATAAGCTATATCCAAGAAAACTCCACGAGACAAACTAGGCAGAAGAATTACAAACCATTTAGATAGCGTAAGAATCTGCGTGAGGCACACAAAGTATTTAAAAAATGTTAAACATGCATCAATCAAGTGAAAAGTGCTTTGTTTTCCCAAATTTCCAAGAGTTTTAAGGCAAAATATTAAATTGATGAAATAAAAATATATCATAAATCTTTTAGGAATAGTTGTCATTTATCTTACTAAAATCCTAGTCAGTTCTGGGGATGTTTTAATATTTTCCTAAGATTTCCAAGTAGAAGTATGATGATAAAGTATATCTATACCTAATCATTATGTTTGAGCCACCGTTTCTAAAGCAGGCAAATTTCATTTCAGTGGTTTAAATATTTACTTATAAGGCAGATGTAGCACTAACTCCCAGCATGCAGGCTGAGATCCCCAATTTAGGTTCACACACAATATTAAAATGTTTCTCCCTTCTCCCCTTCTCATAATTTAAAAATATTAATTATTAAAAACAAAGAGAGAAGCCCTCAAGCAAGCCTTTAGCATAGAAAAGACCAGGTGAAATGGATTCATTTTTCTACTCAAGCAAGAACTTATCCTCCCAAAACCCCAAATTGAAATTGAGATGCAGTCACAATGAGGAACCATTTGTTGAGTAGGGTCCTTGCAAGTTGAAGGTTGTAATGATACCAAAATATGATGGGGATAATTGCATATGGAAAGTTTCTATCCAAGACTATATACACTTATGCACAGTCATATAGAAATTAAAGTATGCTATAATTTTATTACAAACATTGTTTTGGTTTTAGAGTAGGTTATTTCTGCCTTTGTTTCATTAAATTGTTTATAACTTGGATTTTCTGCAGTTTTAACTGAGAAATTTGACTTTAAAACTTCATTTCCCCAGTGTGCCAAAATAGAGATTAGAGCAACAAATAAGGGAAAAAAATGCCATCAGGCTTTTCACTTGGAATTCAAAGACAGCCAACTTTTCCTAAAGTCACAGAATTTAGATATCATTACAACCATTCCCTAGCTCTGTACTTGGGGACAGTTAAAACCTTTTGGTGGGAGTAGAATTCTTGCTTTCTTGAGTTTGTCTGTGTATTTGGAGAGGCTGAGAAGAGGGCTGGGGAGAAGGTGATGCTCGAATATGTGGACTTTGATCATTAGAATGAGATTCCTCTTTTTTTTCTCTCTGTCCTTGTGGTTTTTCTTTCCTTTTTTCTGTACCACTGTAAAATAAAGTATAACATGGAACACACATATTTAAACAAATTTTAAAAAGTATTATAAAAATCAAAATCCTAAATCATACAGCTTATACAATTTATTCTGCTTTCCGTCAATAATACTTCTTTCAAAATCCTGGAAGCTATTAAAATCTTCAGTGAAGAATTTCTAGAATTCTAAGGCAATATATCCTATGAAGATCTGGAAACAAAATGGTGTCTAATGCATTTTTCCATCTTGGCAATTTGGGGGGATAATAGAAGAGCTGCTAGCTGACTTCAACTTACCCAAATTACAGCATCAATGACACTTTCCAATACCTCTGTAAAACATACTAACTAATGTCCAAGGCATGCTAAATGCACATCTTAAGTAAGTTACTCTCTATCCTACTAGAAATTTTCTAGTTTCCTTTACATACATTCCTCTTGTTTCTTCTGTAAACTTCTCCTGATAGCTGAGTTTTAAATTTGCCAAGAGTTAACTGTTTGTTATGTTTGCTGTTTTAATTATTTAAGTTAAATACAAATTGACACTACATAGAAAAGAGAACTGTCATTTCTCATGTAACTAAGTTACATATTCTGAAGATTCCATAAAAATTGAGTTACTAAAAATTGCTGTTAAATTTTGTGAGACAATTATAAAAGACTGAGAAAAAATATACAAAGAGATAGGTTCTAATCCACATGTTTGCAAGTGCTTAAAAGTTCTTATTCTATCTTAAAAAATAAAACTAAAAATTATTTTAAGTGACTTATTGAGTATATTTAATATAAGATAATCACAAGGATTCTAATCAGACATACATACATAGAAGAGGGCATTTCATAAAAAAATTGACAAATGAATATATGTGACTATATTTTAAAAGACTGAAGATATTCATGTATACATTCTTATGGTTCTGCACTGACTCTTGATTAATGAAGGATATGCCATTCCTAATCACAATGGATTAAAGTCCTTATACTGTATATATACTTTTGACAATATTACAAAGCAGATGGAATCAAAGCTTTAATTCCAGGGTTGAAAAGATAGGAAACTACCAACTGCCTACACTTCTTAATCAGAGGACACTTTGTAATTTTACTCTAAGGTACAAAATCTACAAGGAACTATGTTTAAGAACATCTTAAATATACACAGTATCGACAGTTTAACTCTTACAATTGTTAACAATGTTAAAACATAATTGTGAGAGTGACATTTCTTAATCTGATTCAGTTCTGTTATCTTCTGACTTCATACTGGTTCTTGACAGTTTCCTTCATGTTCAGTTTTTTTTTTTTTTAAGTATGTGCTCAGAAATACAATTCTACTTTAAAAATATTGGATTGACTTTTAAGTTTAAAACTGTTAGAAATTAATTCTTCCTTGTCAATGTTCAAACTATCCTGAAAACACAGGCTATTAGTCTTATATGTGGGCCACTGTATTAATAGAGATTTCCTCCTGGGTTACTTAACGGCAAATACAGAATATCATTAACTAACAAACTCAGCCGATCTTAGATTGCTGAGTCACTGTCACGCATAATACTGATCACGGCACAGAACCTGTAAGAAAAAGGGATGAATCCAAGCTATTACTGGGTATAACAAAAGAAGCTTATTTAAAATTGCTATTAAAATTTTCCATTATGTTTTTTTCCCTTAAATTTGTCTTTTTCTCCTGAAAGTAGAGCCCAGGTAATACATTTTGGCATGCTTTGGGGAGAAATTCTATATAATAACAATGACTTCAAAGATTAAATTCTAGAAAGGACTTATTAAAAGGCTGAAAGGTGTCGTCATCTCTTCACTACTTCTGTAACCAAATGTTGGTTAACATCTATAAATACACACAAATGAATAATTCAGTTTGGCATTGGCTTATTGAAGCAACCATTTTTCATGAGTATATTTTAAATATCATTCTAGTACTTCAGATTTTTTCCCTCAATTTTTCTTTGAAGAAAACAGCTGTAAGGTTATATAGTTTATCTCTTTTGGTCTCTCCAAACTATATGGAATAATTTGGTAGGAATTACACAAAAGCAGAAAAATCCTGTAAGCAATTGTATTGGAACAAAAAATGAAAATGAAAAGAACATAGAGAACATGTATTTGTAATCTACTGAAACTTTTATATTACAATATTTCCACCATCCTCTTGCCCACCTCCCCCAAGGCATGCACAATATAGTACTGAAACATTCTGAATTAAGTTGTAATTTTGATCATGATGAAAGAACAAAAGTTATAACAGTGTTTAACCTCTCACTAATATAGATATATATACCCAAGATTCTATTTCTCCTTTAAAAATGCTGTGTCAAATGTATCACATGCTAAGGAAAATTCACTTTTATAAGCATATTTAATATACTGATGTTTACCTCATCAACAAATGCTTGCTAAAAGGAAACCAAACCAAACCAAACTACTTTCTTCAGTAAGAATGAAAATCTTCCTGACACAACTCAACAGCTACCATGAATGTTAAAGCTAAATGAGTATAAGGTTGACTATCTCTAAATTCAAAGAATTCAAAGGACATGTTCAGCTGAATTCCAAACAACTCTATTTCATGTTTTTTTAAAAAGTAGACTAAGTTATCACATTCTGATAATCCTGCAATGTTAGCTCCCCCTACCTCCCACAAATGAATACCTTTTAGCAGCAGATGAAAGTGTTTCTTTCCTTGCAATTGAGACAGTACTGGTATGACTTGGTTTTCTGTTTGCGCCACTTCCATTGGTAATACAGGACATGGAAATAGCTTCTCGAAGGCCTGGCTGCCCTAAAGGTGGTTAAGAAAAAATGCTTTTACAACAAACTAAAATATTTTTCAAAGATAAGAGCTTTAAAAGTTAAGTCCATTAGTATTCAGAACCACTATACAGATTGCTCCCCCTAGTAACAACTTACAATATTACCAAGATTTAATTTCATCACAACAAATCAAAAGAAAAGTTATTCTGAGCTTCTAATCTGCAGGCAAGCTCTTGCTCTAACTAAATGGTTTGCTCTCCACGCACAGATGTTTTAAGGCACATGATTCAAAGTTGTGCCTCAAGCAAAGAACAAAATCACATTAGTAATTTTCAGAAACAGCTCTGGCTTTGTTAAAATTTAATTAATTAAAAATCTTAGAAACCATAAATATTAAATCTTAGAATGTTGTTCCATTAAGTAAAGTATAAATATATAAAGTAGCCTCTACTTCCTCCCACCTTCTTTCTCAATTTATACATAATATTGGTGTGGTAAGGAAGACTTATAGTCAGAAAATAAAATATCCACATCTACTAAGAGTCAACTTTATTTAAAGATTTGGAAATAGAGAACAGTTTTGATTTTTGGACACATTTTCCTCTCAAACACACAAGAAAAACCTAACTTTTAGATTTGGCCAATTTCATGGTTTTTTGTTTGCTTCTCTTCATAAAAGCACAGGCTGTAAAAAGTTTTTAGTACAGAAATACAGAAAAACACAAAAATACTAGGAAAAATTATACACTAACAAATTTGACAACTGAGAAGTGAGTAAACTAGAAACAAACACTCCATACCAAGTTCAAATCATGAAGAAACAAAAACTCTGGGCAGACTGATTAGTAAAAAGACTGTTCAAATTTTCTTCATCCTCTTAACGTCATTAAAAGAATTTTTTTTTAGCAATTGCCCCAAATGACTTACCAACTTCAACTTAGTATTTCTAGAAATGACTAACCTAAATTGACATCTTATATCAATACTGACAGAACTGTTGTGATTCTTTTCTCAGCAATTTCAGTTTTATGGTGAAATATTTAAGTTACTGATTATGAAATACTCTTCTGAACATTAATATATTTGTAAGAAGAAATCATACCACAACCCTTAAGTGAACATTACTTAAAATGCTACCGTGAAGATAAAACTCACCAGCTAAAACTTTGTAGGTCTTCTAACCCTGTTCTAATTAGGCATTGGTGTAAGAACTGCAGTTTACAGGTAAAGGAATACAAATATGCTTATTCATCCATTATCAGAAGTGAAATCTTGGTTTTGACTCTTGAATAATGCAAATGTAAATACTCTACCATTAGAACTGAAGTCTGTGAACCCCTCCCTGAGTACACCCCACTTCCTCTTCCTAAAGGTTACCACTGAGTTCAGGTGCTTCTGGCTTGTAATAAAACTACTTAACATAACTTCCTGAGTACCTAGCTACAATAATTATAGCCATGACAGAGAATCTGAAAATGGTTTGAAGAGGGGAAAGAAGATAGAGATTTCTTCAGAAGCAGGCTGAGGGTGGGCTGTGACAGTCAAAAAGCCAATACTGGCTTTTCAACAAAGAGTGAGTTAGATGAGCACTGATTACTTGCATCAATTCACGAAGTAAACTGCATCTATTTTTACCATCTCATTCAACTTATAAACCAGTTGCTTTCTGACTCTCCCCCGCTACATCGCTGAGTCCTGCAGGTTTCTCTTCCTGCGTCTCTGAAATGATCTCCATCTCTCCATTCTGCATGTTATGCCTATCATCCTTAGCTTTGGTCTTGCTCCTCTTGTCCATGTGTCAGATTTATCTTTCTGAAACATTGATCTGCTTGCTCACGTTTGCTCTCTTAAGTTAAATAAAGCCTTTTATAGAAAATATATAGCAATAGAAGCTCACATCAAGAAACAAGAACTCAAAGAAACAACCTAATCTCGAAGCTCAAAGATCTAGAAAAAGAACAACAAAAAAACCCCAAAACCAGTAGAAGAAAAGAAATAATAAAAACCAAAGCAGAAATAAATGAAATTGAAACTAAAAAAACAATCCAAAAGATCAATGAAACCAAGAGCTGGTTCTTTGAAAAAAATCAATAAAATAGACAAACCCCTAGCCAGGCTCACAAAGGAAAAAAGGGAGAAAGCACAAATAAACAGGATCATCAATGAAAGAGGAGAAATCACAACGGACACAGCAGAAATCAAAAGAATAATCAGTAACTACTATGAACAGTTATATGGAAACAAGTTTAACAATCTAGAGGAGATGGACAAATTCCTACAACTCTACAATCACCCAAAGCTAGATAAAGAAGAAATAGAACACCTAAACAGACCAATTACAAGCAGCGAAATTGAAATGGCAATCAAAAACCTCCCCAAAAAACAAAAGCCCAGGACCTGATGGATTTACAAATGAATTCTACCAAACATTCAGAGACGAATTAGTGCCTATCCTTCACAAACTCTTCCAAAAAATTGAGAAGGAAGGGACAATACCAAACACGTTCTATGAAGCCAACATTACACTAATACCAAAACCGAACAAGGACAACACAAAAAAGGAAAACTACAGGCCAATCTCCCTAATGAACACTGATGCAAAAATCCTCAATAAAATTTTAGCTATCAGAATCCAACAATGTATCCATAAGATAATTCACCACGACCAAGTTGGATTCATTCCAGGGGCACAAGGATGGTTTAACATCCGAAAATCAATCAACGTTATCCAACACATCAACAAAAAGAAATATAAAAACCATATGATAATATCAATAGATGCTGAGAAAGCTTTTGACAAAGTGCAACACCCATTCATGATAAAAGCCCTTGAAATTCTTGGGATACAAGGAACATACCTCAACATCATAAAGGCCATCTATGACAAGCCAACAGCCAGTATCATTCTCAATGGTGAAAAGCTGAAAGCAATTCCATTAAGATCTGGAACAAGACAAGGATGTCCACTCTCACCACTGCTTTTCAATATAATACTGGAAGTCCTAGCCAGAGCAATAAGACAAGAGAAAGACATCCAAGGAATCCAAATAGGATAAGAAGAAGTCAAACTATCACTATTTGCAGATGATATGATAATATACATAGAGAACCCCAAAAACTCCACAGAAAAACTAATTCAACTCATCAATCAGTTCAGTAAAGTGGCAGGATACAAAATCAACACGCAAAAGTCAGTAGCCTTCCTATACACAAACAATAAATCTGAAGAAGAAGAAATCAAAAAAACCATCCCTTTTTTTATTGAAACAAAAAAAATCAAATATTTGGGAATAAATCTAACAAAAGAGGTAAAGGACCTATACAAAGAAAACTATAAAACACTGTTAAAAGAAATAGAAGAAGACACAAAGAAATGGAAAGACATCCCCTGCTCATGGATTGGAAGAATAAACATTATTAAAATGGCCATCCTTCCAAAAGCAATATACAGATTCAATGCTATTCCAATCAAAATTTCAATGTCATTCTTCAAAGAAACAGAACAATTATTGATGAAATTCATATGGAATCACAAAAAACCCCGAATAGCCAAAGCTCTCCTGAAAAAAAAAAAGAAGGGAATGGAGGCATCACACTCCCAGACTTCAAACTATACTACAAAGCCATAATCATCAAAACTGCATGGTATTGGAACAAGAACAGACATACAGACCAATGGAATCACAAAGAAAATCCAGAAATAAACCCACAGATTTATGGTCAACTAATCTTTGACAAAGGAGCAAAGACTATGCATTGGAGCAAAGAAAGTTTGTTCAATAAATGGTGCTGGGAAAACTGGGTCGCTACATGCAAAAGAATGAAGCTTGACCACTACCTCACACCATACACAAAAATCAACTCAAAATGGATTAAAGAACTAGACATAAGACCTGAAACCATAAAATATATAGAAGGAAATATAGGCGAAACACTACGTGATTTGCACATCAAAGACATCTTTACAGACACATCACCCAAAGCAGTGATAGTGAAGGCAAAGATAAACAGCTGGGACTACATCAAATTAAAGAGCTTCTGCACAGCAAAAGAGACAATAACAAAAACAAAGAGAAACCCACCAACTGGGAGAACATTTTTGCACCCAACACTAATGATAAAGGACTGATCACAAAAATCTGCAAAGAGCTGATGAGACTCAACAACAACAAAGAAAATAATCCAGTCAAAAAATGGGCAGAAGAGCTAAAAAGAAACTTCTCTGAAGAGGAAATGCAAATGGCCAACAGGCATATGAAAAAATGTTCAACATCACTTGTCATCAGGGAAATGCAAATCAAAACTACCATGAGATACCATCTTACACCAGTGAGAATGGCACATATTAAAAAAACTAGCAACAACAAATGTTGGTGAGGGTGTGGAGAAAAAGGAACTCTTCTGCACTGTTGGTGGGAGTGCAAACTGGTCCAACCACTGTGGAGAGCTGTGTGGAGATTTCTGGACCTACTAAACATAGAGCTTCCATATGATCCAGCAATTCCACTCCTAGGTATTTACCCAAAGGACACAGAAACATCAATTCCAAAGAACACCTGCACCCCTATGTTTATAGCAGCACTGTTTACAATAGCTAAGCTTTGGAAACAACCCAAATGCCCAAAAATAGATGACTGGATCAAGAGGATGTGGTACATATATACCATGGAATATTACTCAGCATTCAAAAAAGATAAACACATGCAATTTGCAGCAACATGGATGGCGCTGGAAGGGATCATGCTCAGCGAAATTAGCCAAAAAGAAAAAGAAAAATACCGGATGGTCTCACTCATAGCAGGAATCTAGAAAACTTAAATAAGGGACCAGGAAAATGAATAACTATAAGAAAGTGAAAATCAAAATCAACAAAAAACTATGAACCAGAGACACTTTTAGGAGGGCGGGGGCGGGAGGGGAGGGATTGGGGTCAGAATGGGGGGGCTGCAATTGTATGGGGAATATAAAAATAAAATTTATTATTTAAAAAAAAAATAAAGCCTTTTATAAAAGGGAAAACCAGAAACC